AAGGACACCGAGGACGCTCCGAACACATCATCTCCGACATTGAGGGCCTCGCCCGCTCCATCGACCAGTCCACGGGCCTCATCGACCGCGTCAGCGAGTGGGTCGGCGGCATCCTCGACGAGGACGAGGAGCCCAACCACGCCATCGGCCAGTACCTCATGAACGCCCTCTCCCTCGCCCCCAAGGTCGACCCCGAGCAGATGGAGTCCGACTTCAACAACCACATCCAGGACGTCCTCATGGTCTCCTACCTCGCCAACACCATCCGCAACCAGATCGACCTCTCGCAACGTCTGGCGACGGCCACCCTCAACATGGGCGAGAAGGACGGCGAGAACAAGGCTGCCGACGGCGAGAAGGGCGGCGATTCGCGCGGCGGTCGCGGCGGCAAGAGGGGCGGTCGCGGCGGCGGCCGTGGCGGCAACCACAACCGGGAGCCACGGGAGCCCCGAGAGCCCAGGGAGCCTAGGGAACCTACCGAGTGAAAAAAAAAAGAAGTTCCGAAACTGAGCATGGCAGGGGGGCTCCCCTTCTCTCACAAAAGTCAAAAACAAAAGTCGAATGAAACGACGTTTGGAAGAATGACAAGTCCTGTTGACTTTTGAACCCCCCCGGAAAATCAAAGGTATCACTAGATCGTGCTTGAGCAAGGCGGAGTGGGCAAAGGGGAAGCTTAGGGAGGCGGAAAGGGGAAAGCATGATGATTCCACGAAGCAGCTAGCTAGCCAAGCATTTTGACGGTTTGGAGGGGGCGTTTCTCTCCCGGAAAGGAGCGGAACAACTGTTGCAAGGAGGACACCGAACCGTCATGGCGTTACGGCAGTGTCAGGATTAGACAGCCAACCTCGGGGCGAGCTGAAATTTTACGAAATCACCACCCAGGAAGATATTGCCGTCTCACACTTGATGTACATCGCGCCGGGCTACTAAATGCATGGAAATGCAAACTGTGTCATTATGGAAGAAGAAAAAGCGGATCTAGCTCATGCTGTAGCCTACGCGGCTAGAAAGCATCCCGTCCGTCCATCAAACGCCACCATGCTGTGCCAGTCCCAGAACGCCAATTTTTTGTCGTGTCACACACTCCATGAACATGCCCCCTCCCTCTCTTGCCCATCCTGCCTGTGCCACGTTATGCGTTGAGAGTTCTAGATGCCGGTATTCGGCTTTTGCGGTAGCGTCGCCGGGTTGCCGTAATGAGGGAGATGGCTGAACGTCTGTCCAGCCGGCCCCTGGGGTGCCACAGGCTTGTTGGGAATGTGGTGCTGGATCGGGTTTTGCACAACGGCCTGGTGGGGAGGTTGCGGGGGCATGTACGGCACGCCGGGACTAGACTGCATCATGTGTTGGGGGTGCTGAGGGTGCTGGGGAGGCGGGGCATGGTACAAGGGCGCCGAGTTGTTAGATCCTTGCCGAGCCATGCCATAGCCAGCCGGTCCGCCATATGGACCCGGAGGCCCTGGCTGCTGATAGCCGACATACGACAGATGCGGAGAGCCGATCTGAGGGCTGTTGTGGTGCGATCCAGGAGCACTGAACGATGGCTGCGGTTGCTGCATAGGGGCCATTCCCCCGCCAGGTACAAATGACTGCGTCTTGGGGTTGAAGGCATGTCGGTTGTAGCTTCCCGGGATTGGGTGCTGGCTCTTCGGGTCGTTCGGGTTCATGTGAGCTGGAAGTTGGCCATATGCATATGGAACTCCGGAGGATGCCGCCATACCCCTTGGTGAGTAAGACGCAGGATTTGGGGCTGTGGCTGGCATCGGCGCAGGCACTGGTGCCGGCACCATCGGTGGTGCTGGGCCGCCGTTGAACCCTTGCTGCCAACCCGGCTGCGTAGGCACGGACACTGGCACAGGCGCACCATAACTCGACAAGTTAGGGCTCGGCAGCATCTGAGGCCTATGTTGAGTGGGCTGCATGGGTGGTGGTGGTGGTGGTGGCTGCTGAGCCTGTGGAGCTGGCGGTTGGGCTTGGTACTGCTTACGGGACAGTGTCAGTGGGGGTGCAAGACATTCATCGACTCGAGGGCTGACTTACCGGTGCCATGTTGGGATATGTAGGGTAGCCAGAGTGCATGGTAGGTGGCGGATACGCCTGGCCTGGCGCCGTATACGCAGTCTGCACCTGATTCCCATATGTCGGCGGCATGGGTGCTGGGTACTGGGAGCCAGGATGAGGGGAGAATTGCGGCTGCTGTACCCAGGATTGCTGAGGGCCAAATGGGCCGTATAAATGCCTTGAATCGAGACTGTCCGAATCATCTCGCCTCTGCTTATTGACCTTGCCCCTCTTGACCCCGCTAGCTCTGTCTTTGGCAGAAACGGAGCTGGCGCGAGACATTCCATTCTCAGCCTCATTATCTATTGACAGGTTAATGATACGAAGTCTACGTGAGAGCTACGAGGGGTCTTACCGGGCGTTGACTCTCCCGTTTTCTCCGAGTTGCCAAAGATGCGCTCACGAGCCTGCTTGTATGCTTCTTCGCGCTGTTCTCTGGAAAGCCTGAACAGTACGGTCAGCGAAATGGATACATGCCCGAAAGGGGGGGGGGCGCACTTTTGGTTGGCGAGGGCAGACTTCTCCTTCCCATCGCTACCGTCTTCTGATGTGACCTTGGAGAGCATGCCGCTGACGGTACCAGATTCGACATCCTCTCCACGTCTCATGATTTTCCGAGGTAACATGACAGGAGGAGGCGTCTCGCTCACGGGCTCCGGAACACCAATGCTGGCCAAAGAATCAGGTACCCTAGCGTACGGTGTCCTGAATATGCGTACTGAGCCGATCCGAGGCTCATACTGGTGCGTCATGTGGTAGTAATCAGCCAATTTGTGAGTTAACATCCTACAAAACGAGTTGGAAGGCGGGAAATCCATGAAAGGTTCTCTGAAGAAGTGTAAGCACAAGAAATTTTACCTGGGCTGTAATTCTTACTTCGAGTTCTGTACGAACTTGATGAGTTCAGCTTCAAGCCTCAAGAGAAAAAGACGATCTTTCTGGGAGGACATGGCTTCCAGGAGCTTCTCGTCAGGCGACTGTCCATGAACTGCGTTCATGTAGTTGGACAGGTCACTTGTCAAGGTTGCGGCGGGAACCTGAGGGGGGTCGGACGTGGCACTTTGGAGCGTGTGATGACGCCTTGGCTCACCGAGCCAGAAACGACTGAGGGG